GTTCTTTCTAACAGCATTGCCTTGAACAATGATGAGGCCAAGGAATTATAGGTTTTGGATGCCTATATGTGGAGGCCAGGCAACGGCTGCCTTTCCGCTTACACCGGCCTGCCTTTCCATTTGTGGTAGCATAGCAAGGGTGTCCTATACCGTCCCTATCCTAATTTCAGGAAAGTGGGAAGGTGATACCTTACATAGAAGAGTAAGGGCTAAGAGCTAAGGGCTAAGGGCTAAGAGATATAGATAACCCTCCTGTAACCACACGTCTTTATGAGGGTAAGAGGAAGGCAGGAGATATAGTGAGAAACTCAGTTTGAGAATGACGTAAGTAGCCATCACTAGCATCACTAGAACCACTAGTTCTGTAGATAGAAATGAGAGGGGAAAAAAGGTTAATCTGAAACATCTGGATAAACAGAGGAAATGGTTTCTCTTTTAGTACCTGAAGAAAGGAAAATAGCTTGAAGGCCCCTTGATTTTAGCCCAATGATTCCTACATTGTATTTCATACCTAAAGAACTGTAGACAAATGAATATTTGTGGTGTAAACCACTAAGTCTGTGATAATTTGATAAAGAAATAATAGGAAACATAGTATTTATCTTTCTTGGCTAAACCATTTATATACTTTTGTAAAGTAACTCAACCTCTTACAATTTGGATAACATAAATTTGGCTTCCCTGATAATAAGGATTGAAACTGGATTAAGCTCAGCCAGGCTTCAGAGTGTAGACTTCACAGGTGAGGGGCATGGAAGTTCCAAAAAACACAGCTAACAATAGATAGGGGGGAAAGGACATAAGCTAAAATTCAAAGTGAAAATGACATTAGAGGATTACTGATTACTTAAATAGTAATCAGTACTATTAAATACTGATTACTTAAATATTTTCTAATCCTTGGTATTTCACTAATTTGTCTTAATAAATGACATTAACGTGGACAGGTGATCTCTTAAAAAAAAAAACAAAAAACAAAAAAAACCAAAAAAAAAAACAAAAAAAAAACCATGGCCAAACAGCCAAGGAGATGGATGTTCTAAGAACTAAGAGAACTAAGCCGCTATTTAGTTGCTATGCAGAGGAATGCAATATTTTCACTCCTGGAGATGTTCTTGCTATAGAGTGAAACTCAACATTTGGGCCATTTATGCCAAGAGATTTTTAAGATTTTGGAAAATAGCAAAGAATAGTTCCATGCAAGAAAACCCAGCCTGGTGGCCAGGAAATTGGTGATCATATTATGTCATGTCATCTTAGAATAATGTGTGACATCTTTACACACACAAAAAATGTACATTATTTTTCATAAAG